ATCACAGTTGACCACCAAGCTAATCGTTTATATTTCAAAAGGCCGCGTCAACCGAACACGAAATCATGGCAAGATAGATTCACTATCACAAGTACGAGTTCACCCGTCTATACATCCGCCCCCACCCGCTCTTCTTCTTCTGAGGGATGTTGTAATGGCACATCATCAGAGTGCTCAAAAACAGTGAAAAGTCTAACACAGATATAAGTGACCTACTTTGCTATGGGTATAGAGTAAATATGGAGATGTTGTAGAGCTTACGCTTCCTCCTTACATTGCTGAAAAAGTGAATGAAGAAAGACAGGAAGAACTTAGGAAGCAGATTGAGGTGTTTTTGTTAAGTGATGATGAAGAGGAGCAGGGAAAGATAGAAAAAGAAGTGCACATACAGAGATGAAATGTGTCTATGTGTGTTTATTTAAGACGAACTTCAGAGAAATTCGTCATTATTCAATCTAGTTGTAATCATCGAATCTGGTATATTGCACACCCACGATCCCTTCAACACCACCCTGACCAATGATAATTCCATTTTCGCTGACACCGCCAAAAGTATTACTTTTTGTTACTTTTGATTTATCCGGATTTTTAATAGTGGAATTTTGGTTACCTTCCGGATCAGATACAGATAAAAAGAGATTTATTGACTTTTCTATTTTTGAAAAAAAAAAAAACCAACAAAATGAGTATTTTGATATATGGGTGGTATATTCTAGTCGATTACGACTAACCTATGGAGTGTTGAATATGACCCTTTGTTATTTTTGTGGGTTCGCTCTTGGGCCTATACATGAACTTTGGGATTGGGAAAAGGAGTTAACTTTTACATTGGAAGGATGACTGATTCTGAAAGCGATCATGACGAATTGATTTACTTGTAAATCATCCATGGTATCTAGCCATAGTTCCTTTCGCTGGATCGCCACTTGTTATCTTACTTATTATAAAGGTAGAATCCTAGATGGGTCGGCGGGAGTCTAATCAAATTTGGAACATTGAATATTGTATATATCTCTACAGTTCTACTTTACCCACATCGCATTTATGAACACTCGGTGGACATATGCCCAAGTATATGTCAGCCTCCTTCGATATGACAGCATTTTCAGCTCGTAAATAATCTAGCAGAAGCTGAGTTGCATTAAGTCCATCCAATTCTAGTATGATATTTCCTCGACATTTTGTTATCTTCATTACATTGCCAAGCGAACTTAATGAATCATGCTGAAGAGCGATATCTCCGATACTGTTTGGTGTCAGCGAAAACCCAACAACGCCCTGGGATAGTACATGCTCATTATAAAATAAGGTAACTGGTCGCGCTGTCGTGAATGGAGTAGATGTACCGATGATGCCTAACTGGTTTAAACGGGGGTAGTATTAAATATTCTTGATCGTGAACAAACGTCTTAGCGATCATAGTGCTTGTTATTACCTTTTTGTAAGCTGGAAAATGATGATCTAATGACCTCAATAACAAATGGGGTTCCATGTCACTAAACATAAAAAAGTCCTTCTCCACTTCCACTTTCCCTTCAACTTTCTTAACCCACTAGGCAGATCATTTTCATTCGAAGCAGCATGTCAAACAATTTTCCAATGTCATCTCTATTTCTAGATTCGTTATTGGCAAACCACCTTCCAACATTACTTGCTTTAAATAGCTTTCTATCCCCTTCAATTTCATAAGAAAACTCTGAAATTGATACAGATTTGTTTAAAGACAAGTCACCAACTAGAAGCGATACCCCATCGCCATCTGGTAAATTTCCATGAATCTTGTCTACTACGCAACCAATCAAAAGCTTGGGATGTAGTAAAGTGGTAAGACGTTTGGGGATCGATTCGAGCTCTGCATGAGAAAAAGTGTTTGATACGATCGCTATGCATATATCTGGCGAGCGGACGGATAGCGTAGACGATGTAAAACAATTTGGGTGGCTTGCGGTGTATGATGACCACAAACTCCGTGACAGAATGTAGGCCGGCCTTTGTATTCTGGGGAAGCCAACTTTGTTGGACAATAGATGGTAAGTTCTCATGTATGCTTTGTTCATCGCGACACTGGATTTTTTACTTTCCCAGTATCACGTTATCGTGGAAATCGAGTCGATTATAATGAGTTCCACTGATCCAATTTCTCAATCATGGGTATCCGTCTCTGCTCGCTCTCTCTAACCTCTCGATCTTACTAAAAGTCTTGTTTTTCCTGCGTACAATACAAATTGATTTCTCAAAACGCGTAAATACTCGACAGCGCGCAAGGATTTACTGGCGGCACTTGACTTGGAAGAAGAGAACTATAGAGTCTATAATGGATCTTGGGGGTTGTGGAATCAATTTGTCCGATCGATGGAACTGTGTTAGGAAAGGTTAGAGTGGTTTTTTTCTTCTTAATTAAATATCGTCCAGGTCATTGGGCATGTGATTCGCTGTCAATTTGTCTCACAGGGTACACCTAAGGATTTGCAGAAACGATGGAAAAAGTCGAAGAAGCGAAACACGTCTGGTCCCAGGTAATAGATCAAAGATATGATCCCAGCACTTTTTGGGTCTCAACCTCAAATCTCAATTATATTAGCTCCCAGCTCCTCAAAGAGGTGAAATAGTCCGTCAAATGCGTAATGCGCTGTTCGCCAAACGCGAAGACTTGGGTAAACTCGTTTCATTAAAATATTGCCAGAGGATATCGGAGAAGTACAGGAATACATTGACATGGCCGACTATGCTGTCGGTTTGAGTCGGATGTTTAGTGGAAAGATATTACCGAGTGAGAGTGAG